GCGGGGGGGGCGGCCCGCCCCCCGCCGCGCGCTGGCCCTTGATCTCGACCCGGATGCGACGGCCGTTCACCTCGGGGCGTGGCCCCGGTGCCCCACGGAGTAGCGCTGCACCGATCCCCATCCCCAGCGGCGTGACCTGGGCCCCACTGGCCGATCTACCCCCCCAGGGTGGGGATATGGGCCGTTCCCTTCGGGCTTCGTGGGGGGTGTCCCCAACCGGGGTGGTAATTTGGTGGGGGTCTCGAAAGGGGATGGGGATGGGGATGGGGATGGGGATCGGTTGAACGATGCCGACCCACTGAGGGGCAGGGGGCCGCGCAAACAACCAGGCAGGCCCTGCCGCGGCACGAAGAGGAGCCGTGTCCGCAACGTCGCTCCGGAGCCACCCAATGCACTTTTCTTGGCGGCCGCTGCAGTGCCTGCCTGGCTGTCTGTCGGGCCCCTGCTCGGCAGCGGGGCAGGTGGACCGCGGACCTCCAAGCCGTCGAGCACCCTCACGGCGCGCTCGGCGTCGGCCGGGTTCTCCAGGTCCGCGAACGCATACCCCCTGGACTTGCCCGTCTCCTTGTCCATGGCAACGTTGACGCTGATGACGCGGATGCGCTCCCGATCGAAGACGGCGCGGAGATCCTCATGCACCCTCCTCCTCCTCCTCCTCCTCCTCCTCCTCCTCCTCCTCCTCCTCCACCTCCTCCTCCTCCTAGTCATCACCGTCCTAGTAGTAGTCATCATCATCATCATCATCATCATCATCATCATCATCATCATCATCATCATCATCATCATCATCATCATCATCATCATCATCATACTCATCATCATCATCATCATCAGCAGCATCATCATCATCATCATCAGCATCAGCATCAGCATCAGCATCAGCATCATCATCATCAGCATCATCATCAACATCATCATCATCAGCATCATCAGCATCATCATCATCAACAACATCATCATTACCAGCATCATCATCATCAGCATCATCAGCATCATCATCATCATCATGAGCAACATCATCATCATCAGCAGCAGCATCATCAGCAGCATCGTCATCGTCATCGTCATCATCAGCATTATCAACATCAGTATCAACATCATCACCACCACCATCATCGTCATCATAATCATCGTAATCATCATCAGCACCATCATCATCATCATCATCATCATCATCATCATCATCATCATCATAATCATCATCACCATCATCATCGTCATTATCAGCATCATCAGCATCATCTTCGTCAGTGTCATCGTCAGCATCAGTATCAGCATCATCTTCATCAACAGCATCATCATCGTCGGCATCATCTTCCTCAGCATCAGCATTAGCATCAGCATCATTTGCACCAGCATCAGCAGCACCATCATCAGCATCAGCATCATCATCAGCAGCAGCATGATCATCATCCGAGTAGACCGAATCATCCTCATCATCGTCATGATCATCATCACCATCATCATCAGCATCGTCATGAGTATCATCATCATACTCATCATCCTCATCAGCATCATTATCGGCATCATCATCAACATCATCGTCAGCATAAGCAGCATCATCATCATCAGCATCGTCATCATCCGAATCACCCGAATCATCATCATCATCATCATCAGCAGCAGCAGCAGCATCATCATTATCGGCATCCTCAGCATCACCATACACATCATGTTCATCATCATCAGCACCATCAACATCAGCATCATCATCATCGTCATCGACATCGTCATCGTCATCATAATCATCATCCGAATCATCAGCATCAGCAGCAGCAGCCGATGCATCAGCGTCAGCATCACCATCATCATCACAATCATCGTCGCCGTCGTCGTCAGCATCGTCAGCGTCATCATCTTCGTCCATCAAGACAATCATAACAATTACTAGCATCAGCAGTATAATCATCAGCAGCATCATAACCACATCATAATCAGAATCGTCATCGTCATTGTGATCGTCATCGTCATCATCATCGTCATCATCATGTTATCCAGGCTCATCGTCGTCATCATCAGCATCATCATAAACAACGCCATCGGACAGCATAATCATGATTGTCATCGACATCACCATCATCATCCTCATCCTCGTCGTCGTCTTTGTCGTCATGGTCCTCCTCCTCCTCCGAGGGAGGGAGGAGAGAGGAGGAGGAGCAGAAGGAGGAGGAGGAGGAGGGCGAGGAGGAGGAGGAGGAGGAGGAGGAGGAGGGGATAGGAGCAAGAGGAGGGGGGAGGAGGAGGAGGAGGAGGAGGAGGAGAGGAGGAGGAGGAGGAGGAAGAGGAGAAGGAGAAGGAGGAGGAGCAAGAGGAGGAGGAGGAGGGAGGAGGAGGAGGAGGAGGAGCAGCAGCAGCAGGAGGAGGAGGGGGAGGAGGAAGAGGAGGAGGAGGAGGAGCAGGAGGAGGAGGAGCAGGAGGAGGAGGATGAGGGAGGAGGAGGAGGAGAGGAGGAGCAGCAGCAGCAGCAGCAGGGGGAGGAGGAGGAGGAGGAGGAGGAGGAGCAGGAGGAGGAGGAGGAGGAGGAGGGAGGAGGAGGAGGAGGAGGAGGAGAGGAGGAGGAGGAGGAGAGGAGGAGGAGCAGCAGCAGCAGGGGCAGGAGGAGGAGGAAGAGGAGGAGGAGCAGCAGCAGCAGAGGCAGGAGGAGGAGGAAGAGGAGGAGCAGCAGCAGCAGGAGGGGCAGGAGCAGGGCGACCGCGCGGCCGTTGGCCTCCGCTTCGACGCGACACCAGGCTCGGCGGCCGCCGCCAGCGACGGCGTCGGCACCCCGTCGTCGCCGCGGCACCGCTCGGGGCGCGGCGGCACGAAGGAGAGCAGGGACCAACCATCCAGGCATTCCTAGTCCTACCACGAGATGTTCTTAGAACCCAGACGTGTTCTAAGAACAAATTCATTGCTCTTAGAACAGAAGCCCGATGTGATAAAACAGGACAGACTCCGCCAGAAGTGTTCTACGAACATTTCGTGGAAACCACAAAAGGCTCTTAGAACATTGTTTGGTAGGGCCATAGGCGAGCCAGGACGCTTCGCCACTGCTTGAACGAAGGAGAGCGGCGGGCACTGAGCATCGTTTCACCGATCCCCCTCCCCACCAGCGTGGGCTGGGCCCCACCGGCCGATGTTACCCCCCCTGGACGCGGATGTAGGCTGCTCCACTCGGGCTCCGAGGGGCACATCCCCAACTGAGATGGGGCTCGAGATGTGGATGGGGATGGGGATGGGGATCGGTGAAACGATACAGTAGCACCGCTCCTCGGCGACTTTCAGAAGCCAGGGAAAAGATGGCAAACCCGTGGCTGCTAAGACGGAGCTCCGGGAGATTGTTTTTTCTGCCCGGAAGCAGCCCGTTTACTATTTGGCGCGCTGGGTTTTATTCCGGGAATTTGCTTGTTCTCCAAGGACGACCGTTTTGGCAGCCACGGATTTGCCAGCCCTTGCCCAGCTATCGAGACTTCTCGGCCAGCGGGGCGTCGCGGGAGCCGCGTCTCGGCTACAGCCGGCCCGTCGCGATGAGAACGCGAGGGCCTTGGGCGCCGATTTCGAAGCTTCTCGAGCGAGGCGCGGCCAACGGAAGAGGCCAAGGATGGACCGAGGAGGCATGGATGCAAGGGTGCCATTGGGAAGGTTGCCCATCCTTACCTTAAGTCGGGCCTGTCCCCCTACAGGGGGAGTTTGGGCGAAAAAGTTGACCTACTCAAAAAATATTCCGAAATGGTCCAAAATAGTCCCAAAAAAGCCCCTCGACTATTTTTTGAGTACTTTCGAATTTCCCCCCTGTAGAGGGACAGGCCCGACGTAAGCATGGATGCCAGGGTGCCCTGAGGAAGGCTGCCCAGCCTTACCCTGCGGGTGGACTGTACACTGCAGGAGCTGCCTCGTGCGAGAGAGGCGCCCCGGGGAGAAGACATACAGCTACGATCCAGGGATCAGACTTCCGTCGGGCCTGTCCCCCTACAGTAGGGGAACAAAAAGTGACAGAAACACAAAAACTCGGAGGTCCGCGCGGATTTCTCGGATCGGCGCTGGGGCCCCCCGGCGGCGCCTCCGGCGCCGCCCCTGGCGCGCTCCGCGCGCCAGGGAGGGGGGTCCAGCGCCGATCCGAGAAATCCGCGCGGACCTCAGAGTTTTTATGTTTATGTCATTGTTCGTTCCCCTATACAGGAGGATTGTGGACGAATCATATCTTTTAGAGTCAAACAATACCCCGCAATGGTCAAAGAAATACTCAATACATCGTCCCCCGGCTATTTTGTTACTATTTTTTGATATGCCTTCTGCAGAGGGACAGGCCCGATTTAAGATCTTCATCGTGCCAAAAGGCAGGCTGTGCCAGCAGGCTTCGCAGCCACCACACGGGGCGGCGCGGGCGACATCTCGGCTCCAGCGTGGCTCGGGAGACCAACCCGTTCTTCCAGAGGAGAGGCTCGCGGGAGAAGAACCGCCTCGATGCAGGGACCCGCTTGTGCAGGAGGCAGTGGCGGCACGCACAAGGGGATGGCGGCAAGGGGGAGGGCTTCTTAGAAGGAGGCTGCTTCTTAGAAGGCGTCGGCCTTGCATCTGCAGATAAGGCCCGCGCCTTCTAGGAAGCAGGGATGCTTCTAAGAAGCCCTCCCCCCTCCCCCCACCCCCTCTGCGCGTGGCTGAAGGCTGTGGCAGCAAGCTGTGCTGCTGCCAGATGGGGCGCATGCGAGACATGAAATGAAGGGATCCGCCAGCGGGCAGGGGCAGCGGATGGCATGTCCAGCAGTTGAGAAGGGACCGACCGTCCCAGCATTCCTATAGGCCTACCACGACATGTTCTTAGAACCCAGAAATGCTCTAAGAACGAAGACAATCTTCTTGGAACATAAACCCGATGTGTTAAAACAAGACAGACTCAGCCAGAAATGTTCTCAGAGCATTGCGCCCAAATTTCACCAGATTCCTAGAGCCTTCTTCGGTGGGCCGATAGGTGAGCCAGGACGCGTCGCCCCTGCCTAAAGCGGGGCGATCGCGGGAGCAGGTCACCGGTGCGGTGCAGGAGGGCCGGCCGGTGCCCGAGAGAGCAGTGCAGAGGCAGCCGCGGCTGCCACTGCCACCAGAAGGGGCTCGAGGGAGAGGAGCTCGGCGACAGAGCGGGGGTCCTGCTCGGGCGACGACGCAGGCAGCGGCAGCGCGCCCTGCGGCCGGAGAGGGTCTTCAGCTTCAACGCGCGGATCAGATCACAAATGAAGGCGGGCAGTGGAGCTTTGGAGTCCCGAAACGGTGCGGTGACAGACCGTGCGGGGACCTCGCAATCCCCCAAGACCTCACCGCACGGTCCGTCACCGCACGGTTTTGGGACCTCGGAGGCCCCAGTCGCCCGAGACGTCCTCGAAGAACGCCCCGAGTCCCAAAACCGTGCGGTGACCCCGAAGCCCCAGCGATTCACCGCACGGTGTGGTCACCACACCGTTTGGGGGCCCCCAGGAACCAGATGAGGGACGATCAAAAACTGGTCTTGCGCGAGATGCCGTAGCGGCCTTGTGCGGTGACTTACGCGGCCGCCAGCGCTTCACGCAACATTTGAAGCGAAGGCGCTTGCGCGCGACCTCACGCGGGCAGCTTACGCGCCAATGTCGGCGCAGACGACCCCGTTTTGTTGCGTCGCCCAGATGGCACCGAACGGCGATCCTGGGAAATGGCCAGCAGCTGCAACGCAGGCATCAGGTCGTGCGACAAGGCAGGCAGTGGCAGCAGGCTCTGATCATGCCAGACACGAGACAGTGGGAGGCTCATGTCAGCTACAATGTAAGAGCAAACTCGTGCGACAAGGGCGTTCGTGGGGGACTACCATCAGCTACGGCGCAAAAATCGGCTCTGTCGAGAACTCACTGGCACTGCGAGGGGATCGTAAAAGCCTCATCTCAGCTACAGTGCAGGGATCAGCTCGTGCATACAGCGCGCTCGTAGGAGAACGCATTCAGCTGCAGTGTTCTCTGGGGCCACATCATGCGAGAAGCGCGAACACGGTGACGGACGGATGTGTGCCAGCGTGCACTGGCCCTTGTGGCCAAGGCTGAGGCCTTGCTTCGCAGTGCTGGTCTGTCCTCTGCTGCCGCCTCTGCCCCTCGCGGACCCCGACACACCCCAGGGGTGGAGCCATGTTGCTCCCAGCGCACTTACGGACCACATCCCAGACATAATCTCGAGCACCAACGGAATCGAATCGGCTCGGCTGCGTCAAAGTGCACAGCAGCGCCATTCAAGCATCGGGCTGCACAAGGCCGCCAGAATATCACAATCTAAACGGACCGAGCTGGCCGGAACTGATGTCGAACCGGATCGATCGGATCAAAAAGCACCCAGCCGAGGACGCTCCCCGAGAGAAGAATCGTGCCCCTGGAAGTTTGCCATGACTCTGGTCTCCCGCGCCCGTGCGGGACGATGCGGGCACTCCCAGGAGCGCCCTCGGCGAGGCGCAGCTGCTGGAGAGCATTCCGAGGCGGGAGAAAAACTGCCGAGCACCCCCGGAAACGCCCGCAAACCTCGAACCTCGAACCTGCCGAGGAGACCCCCCCGAGCAGGTCCTCGCCCCCCGTCTCGAAGGAGACGTCCCCCAGGAGCAGAAACGAGCAGCGCAGACAAGCATCGACCCTCTAACATCCTCCTGCCTCTACTTACAAGCCTCGAACTTATCCCTATCCCTAAGATCGACACGCCCAAACGCGATGACAATCTTAGGGATGCGCCCTCAAAAAATAAAGGAACCCCTAAGATTGGCATCGTGATGAGGAGATGCCCAGCATAGGGATAGGGGTATGCTCTAGGCTGGTAATCTACTGCGCCCCGACCCTCGACCATCCCACCCCCGCCCCCTCCCCTCGACCGAGGACCCCCACCCCGAGGCCAGGCCCGAGCGAAACGCCCGAAAGCCTCGAGCCCCGAACCCCCCCCCCTGGACGCTGCCGAGGACCCCCCCCCCCCAACGAGCGGGAGGTCTTCGCCCCTCACGTTGAGGGCGACGCTCCCCAGGAAGAGCCCGCCCGCAGGAGGGAGGAGGGGAGGAGGAGGAGGAGGAGGAGGAGGAGGAGGAGGAGGAGGAGGAAGAGGAGGAGGAGGAGGAACAGGAATCGATGATCGATCACCCTACTCCCCCTACTGCTCCTCGAGCCGCAATCACCCCACCCATGGGGAGGAGGGAGAGGAGGGGGGACGCCGGCAACGACGGAGCAGGAGGAGGAGCCGGAGGAAGGCGGAGGAGGCCGGAGGAGGAGGAGGAGGAGGAGAAGAGGAGGGAGGAAGAGGAGGACGACGACGAGACGAGGAGGAGGAGGAGGAAGAGGAGGGGGAAGAGGAGAGAGGGGGAGAGGGGACACCTTTTTGCTGCCCTCTCTTGCCCTCGACCGAGGCCGCGCTCCCCCCCCGAGCGGAGGGGGGGGGTCCTCGTCCCTCGTGTTGAAGGCGACGCTCCCCAGGAACAGCTTGCCCGACGAGGGGGAGGAGCCGCCGCCGCCCACGCCCCGGTCCCCCGCCGCGGACGGCCTCGGGGGAGGGGGGAGGGGGGAGGACGATGGAGGGAGAGGCAGGAGAAGGGAAGAGCGAGGAGCGAGGAGCGAGGAGGAGCGAGGAGCGAGGAGGAGCGAGGAGCGAGGAGGAGCGAGAAGCGAGGAGCGAGGACGCGGAGGAGGGAGGAGAGAGGAGGAGGAGGAGGAGGAGGAGGGGGAGGAGGAGAAGGAGGAGGAGGAGGAGGAGGAGGAGGGAGGAGCAAAGAGGAGGATTGAGGAGGAGGAGGGAGGAGGGAGGAGGAGGAGGAGGAAGAGGAGGAAGAAGAGAGGCGAAGGAAAAAGGAGAAGAGCGACGAGGGTGAGGATGGAGGAGGAAGGGGGAGAAGAGTATGGGCCAGGACGGGGAGGGGCTAGGAGGGAGAAGAGTGGGAAGGAGGGGGAAGGCGGGGGAGGAGGAGGGGGGAAGGATCAGCGATGATCCTCGAGGGGTAGAAGGGGAGGCGGAGAAGGAGCAGAAGGAGGAGGATCGAGGATCGATGTTTTGTTGTCTGGACCTCTGGGACGCCAGCGTCGCCACAGCCAAATCCGCCAGAAAGCCCAGCACTGATCACCGACGCTGCAACACTCCCGTGTCCACTGTCATCTTCGTGCGACAAGACTTGTTCGGTACGTGCTCGTCCCATGGTCAATTCTGTGAGGGGTACCCGTTCGGTGCAAGACATAGCAGGTCGCGCGCTGCCGCGCGAGAATCCCGCACACGTGATTATGGCTCAAGAAAAGGAGCTAGATTCATCTCTCTGCCCATTTTATTTCATGAGAGAGCTGAAACATGGTAGCGCGGAGCTGAGGACAGTTTCGTGGACCGAAACCCACTGCGCGACTCTCAGGACAGCAGATCGCAGCCATGGAGGCGCAGCTGCTGGCCCAGCAGCAACAGATTGCGGACCTGCTGGCGACGGTGCAGCAGCTGCAAGCGCAGCAACGGCAGCAGCAACAGCAGGCCCAGCCAGCGGCACCAGCAGTGCGCATCGCGCAGCGCTTCGAGGGCGTGCTGGACGCCAAGATCATAGGGAAGGTAAAGCAGTTCGACGGGACCAGAGGCGGCTGGTCAACCTGGGAGTTTCACTGGAGAGCTTACACGGTGGCCAACGACAAGCGCTACAGGGAGTTCTTCGACAAGCTAGACGAGAAGAACCTGGAGCATCTGGACGACGCCAAGAATGCCACCATGAGTGTCGATGATGTGGACTGGGAAGACCTCTCGACACAGCTCTACTACATGCTGGTGCTAGCGATGCCAGAGGACTCCGCGGGAGAGATCATCATGCGCAACGTGTTGCACGGTGAGGGTGGTCAAGCTTGGGTACGCCTGAAGGCCGAGTATGCGCCCAACGAGCCTGGCAATGTGGTTGCGCGCATGAGGCAGCTGATGTCCACACAGTTTCCGACGAGCGCGGACGTGGCCAACGAGATAGAGAAGCTGGATCTTGAGATCAGCAAGTACGAGAAGGCGGCCGACGAGCAGGTGAGCGACAATCTCAAGAAGGGGATCATGCTCGGCGCGCTGCAGAACGAGAGTGACTTGCAGAAGCATGTCTTCCGCAACCTTCGCAACCTCGCCACTTACCTCGACGTGAAGAATGAGGTCCTGAGTGCCCTGAAGGCCCAGCGTAGCTTCGATGACGACCCGATGGAGATCAATGCTTTGAAAGGGAAGTCGAAGGGAAAAGGAAAGGGCAAGGGCGACAAGGACAAAGACAAGGGCAAGAACAAGTTCGAGCCGAAGGCTAAGGACAACCCGAACCACCCGAGGAAGTGGTGCAGTCACTGCGAGAAGCCGAACCACGTCAAGGATGACTGCCGCAAGTTCAAGCGCGAGACGGAAGCCAAGGCCGAGGCAAAGAAGAAGGCCAAGGATGAGAAGAAACAGCAGATGGCCACGGCAGCAGCACTTGCCGCGGGGGGAGCTCAGGGACCTCACGGAGCTCACCATTCGCAAGACCAGAGCACCAACCCGAGCTTGCAGACGTTGACACCCAACACAGTGTACGCGATGACGCAGCTGACAGGCCCAAGTTCATCGGGAGCAACTTCGACGGCGAGCACGCTACCCACGATGCCGCTAGGAATGCGAGGGATCAACGGTCTCTTCGCAGATCAGGACACGATCCAGCCGAAGTAAATATTTGCCCTGTCGGTGGAGATGTCGAAGCAGAGGTCGAGGTCCGCGGGGCACACACGCTCGAGAGGAAGAGACGACGGAGACAGTGGTCGTATCGCGGCCGCTCGTGGAGTCCAAGGGATCATGATCGACTCTTGAGCTCAGGTCACCACGTTCCCCTACCAGATGCTGAAGGACAAGGGCTACGAGCTCGCCAACTCGCGCATCTCCAAGCTGCAGGCCATCGACGGCACGCAGGCCCAGCACTGGGGCAGGACGGACGTCCGACTCAAGACGGGTCGGGACGTGATCCAGATCTCGGCGGAGGCCGCCGACGTTGAGTTCCCCGTGATGTCTACCGACGCGATCACCAAGCAGGGCAAGTCGGTCATCCACCCCCCCTTGGGCGACTGGATCGTAGACAGCCCGATCTCACCTCCGACGGCAGCGAGCTCGATCAAGCTGACGAAGGATCGAGGCACGTGCTACCTGGAGTACGACGAGATGCTGGACAGCGGGGCCATAGGCAAACGCGCGGTGCGCATGGCGGCCATTGCCGAGCCAGACCACTTCGAGGAGGTCGGCGACGAGCAGCTAGGTGAGCAGCTGTATATCGGTGCGACGCAGGTGCCAGGCACGCAGGACCGACAACAGCTACCGACGGCGCTTGGCCCAGACCCCAGCGAGAACGTCACCCTGAAGGCAAAGGAACTCTCCAGGCCAGGGCAACCCTCGGCGGAGGAGAGGAGAGCTCACGTAGCACACCATCTTCCTTTCAGGTCGTGGCGCAGCGAGTGCGTCATGGGACGCGGGAAGGGCGCCCCCCACGAGATGAGCTCGGAGCAGAAGAAGGAGGGCGAGCACCCCGTTGTGGAGATGGACTTCTTCTTCGTGGCCACGGACGAGATCGCCAGGAAGTGCCATGATGAATGGCTACGTCGTCAAGGTCGTTGACTTTCGGAAGCTAGAGCAGAAGGGGCGGGGAGAGATGCCAGCGATTCTGAACGTCACGGACTGCAGGTCCAACGCGTCTGCCACGCTGTTCGGCTCCAAGCAGATGGGCGACTACAAGGCGCACTACGTCGCCAAGCTCATCGACAGCTGGGGCCACACGACTGTGATTCTGCTCACGGATGGCGAGAACGCGATCGTTGCCGTGGCGGAGCAGGTGAAGAAGCTCAGGTCGCACTCTACGGTAGTGCGGCAAGGTCCAGCGTATTTCATCCAAGAGCATGGGGCGCATTGAGGCCAGCAATGGAGCAGCTGCGGGACTACTTCGCACGCTGCGGTTTTCCCTCGAGACCAAGCTAGGCTGCAAGCTCGAGCTCACGGACTCCATCCTAGCCTTCCTGGCCAACACGGTCGGCTGGTACATCACGAGGTTCCAGCCGAGGAGCCGCGGAGGATCCAGCTAGAAGTACCTCTTCGGACGAGAGTATGCTGGTGAGGTCGCGGAGGTCGGCGAGCAGGTATGGCATCGCATCGCGCCCCGCGTTGCAGCGGGCCAGGGCAAGTTCGAGGCGCGCTTCGCCAAGGGCATCTGGGTTGGCAAGTCGGGGTTCGATGACCAGCACCTGGTGGTGGACCTGCAGCGGGGCCTCCTGAAGGTGCGCACGGTCCGCCGCATGCCCGAGGAGTTCCATTGGAACGCCGAGCTCGTCAAGCAGATCGACGTCACGCCCTGGGCCCCAGTACCTGAGAGAGTGAAGTCGACCATCAGGAAGTCCATGTATATCACCGAGAACATGCTGAACACGCATGGCCCGACGGACAACTGCCCCAAGTGCTCCTACGGAAAGGGCCAGCACAGTGACCAGTGCAGGCAGCGCTTCGAGACGATCGCGCAGGAGAGGCTGGAAGCGAAGCTCTTGGAGGAGACCAAGGGCGGAGTGGCACCCGGAACCCCAGCTCCACAGCAAGGGCCTGCTCAACCACGAGCAGCCGCGGACGGAGCCACAGGGCAGCCGTTGGCACAGGGCAGCGCTCCAGCGTCGACCGCAGCTCCTACCACACCCATGCCTGCGGCCGCATCCGATACACACGCTGGAGCGCTGCCCTGTGAGGAGCGTCTGCGCGGGAGCGTCTGCGCGGGAGCCTGTCCAGGAGACCATCGAGCCGAACAAGCGACAGCGGATCGGCACCCTGGTGAAAGCACCCGAGGTGGTGGTCCTCGCGGGTCTCTGGGTCTGTGAGCTGGCAGTCTGCGAGGAGGACGACGACCAGGAGGAGGATCCGCCTTGGGACATGATTCCGAAGGCTGCTGAGCGGTGTGACGGCCTGTGCGAGGGCCACGTGGGGCGCTGCGCCTACCGACACGATCACGACGGAGAGTGCGCGTGCAGGAGGTGCCTCATTGGAGCGGCCAAGAAGCTCAACCCCGATGCGGAGGTCGTGGCTAGCCTGTGCGCGTTGTGGTCAAGACGTCGGACATCTGAACAGTGCGACTGGAGCCAGGAGCCCGAGCCTGCCGCGAAGATCCACTACGATTATTACACTGGAGAGCCCCTCGACGAAGTCAAGTACCAGAAGGGCAAGGCAGATGAACTCCTGGCCATGGCCGAGTACGGCGTGTACCGCAAGATCCGCATCGCCGACTGCGTGCCTGGAGGTAAGCACGTGGGAGGATTTCCAATTGCTCACGAGAAGGCGGGCGAGGTGCGTTGGCGCTTTGCGGCGACCGAGGTGGCCCACCAGCATCGCGAGGACAACCACCAAGGCACACCGCCGCTGGCGATGATCCGATCGATCCTGAGCTTAGCCGCCAGCAAGCCAGACAAGGACGGGGAGCACAGACGGTGCATCCGCATCTGGGATGTTCGCAAGGCGTTCTTCAACAGCGACCTGCACGAGAAGATCTACGTTCACCCAGGGAGCGA